CGACGACAATCAACAACGACAATAATAACAACAATAACAACAACAGCAACAACAGCAGCACAAACAATTACACCATCAACAACCAACAACCAACAACCACAACCACAACAACAACAACAACAACACCAACAACAATAACAATCACCACAACAACAACGCAACAAACATAGTTAATCCTCACCACGGATGCCCATTTGAGCCAAGCACCGGGAGACAATGAATGACCGCTCGGCCCCCTCACTCTGATGTTCGGCGAAGCGCAAGGACGGAGGAAGTGTAGGGCTGTCTACGGGACTGCTCCTGGCGTAGAGCAATTCCCAAGTGGCACTCCAGGGCAGCATTTCGGTGGCGAGCCTGGGGGGGAGTGAGAAGGGCGGGCCTTCTCCGAAGGATCGGAAGTCCCAGGATCTCCTGAACATTTGTCTAGGACTTCCCCGAAGACGCGTAAAACAATATTTCAAAAGGCGCGAGAGGGCTTCTGAGAAGTTCCGCCGCCTTCTGAGAAGGCCTTTTCCTTCTCACTTTCCCCCCTCGCTCGCCGCCGAGGCTTTTTCTTCTTCCCTGGATGGGGGATGGGAGCTTTTGGGCGGCTGCCGGCGCTCTCCCCCCCCCCCCTCTTAAGCCACCGCCGGGGCCCCCCAGGCCCCGAAGCGCAGCGACTTCTCGGAGCACCTCTACCAGAACCTGGAGGAGTACCTGAAGGCCGCCAGGGGGGGCTCGAGGATCGAGGATCAGGGAGGGTCGAGGAGGATCGGATCGAGGAGGAGGAGCAGGAGGAGGAGCAGGAGCAGGAGCAGGAGCAGGAGCAGGAGGAGGAGGAGGAGGAGGAGGAGGAGGAGGAGCAGGAGGAGGAGGAGGAGGAGGAGGAGGAAGAGGAGGAGGAGGAGGATCGGGGGCAGCGACACGGGGGGGAGACCTGCACGGCGGGGGGGGGGGGGGCAGCGCCCCCCGATATCGCCCAGGACTCGCGCCGATGGGGGCCTCCATGGGTGCCCCCGCAGACACGCCGAGGAGCCTGCGGCACGTCGCCGTCGGGGGCCTGCCGCCAGCATCCCTCGGCGATTTTGTCTTGGTGCCGAGGCAGGCTCGATGCCTCCGCCCCCGAGCCAGCCCCCCGCGGCCTGGCCCCATTCAGGGAGGCGGCTGGAAGGGTACGGGGGTCGGGGTCGGCGCCCGCGGCGCACCTCTCCCCTTCTCTCTCTCTCTCTCTCTCTCTCTCTTTCTTTCTCTCTCTCTCTCTCTCTCTCTCTTTTTGCTTTTTTGTTTCCTCTCTCTCTCTCTCTCTCTCCCCCTCTCTGGCCACAGGAGGGCAGCCCGCCCTGGCGCCCATGAGCACAGGCGTGGGGAGCGCCAGGGCGCCCCCGGCACAGAGCAGGAAGTGCGGCGACGGGCGTGGCAGCCGGAGGGGCGGCGGGGAGGAGGCCCTGAGCCTTCCCTCTTCCCACTTGTTGGGTTCCCTCGTCCTTTGACGAAGAGGACGAGAGACCCCGAACCAGCGTGAACACTCGTCTGGCCTGGAGGTTGGCAGGGCCGATATTTTCGACCGGCGCAAGAAGCCTGGACCTCGTCGACCTGCAGTAGCACAAGAGCTGGTGGCTGACACAGTCGCTGGGCCAGGGAGGCTTGACGCTGACCACTCGCGAGCCTGCGCGCCAATGCGGGCCCATATCCGGGGACAAAAGAATGACTTAACAATTCGCCGTCGGAGGTTCGCGCGGATTTCTCTGAAGTTTTGCCTGCAATTGGAGCCTTGTGCGTGCACCTTCGTAATCTAGCTTGGGAGTGCGTGCGCAGAAATGTTTGTTGATCAGGTCCTGTCGCTCCCCCTGTCTCCTGACATAGCCTTTGGCTCCCGAGATAAGCCGGGGAGCGGGGAGGCCAGCCGCTGGATGCTCAGCCCAAGTCCGGCCCTTCGGCAGTGGGCCGTGCTCGTTCTTCTGGCGAGCCTGCCTGAGGTGCGGCGGCTGGCGCCCGAGGCCGAGCGGCCCGCGCCGCCTGCGCCCGAGGGCCCGGCTGTGCGCGAGATCGTGGCGGACACGGTCAGCGAGCTCGGGGCCTGCTGGGGCGGCGGGCCGTGGCCCCCACCTGGCGGTGGGAGCTCGCGAGCCCGAGCCACGGGAGACCGGCCCGCAGGCCGTGCCGGCGGAGTGCGTGTGCGAGCGTCCGGAGTGCGAGTCGCCAGAGGGCTGGTGGTTGGGCTGGGCGCTGGGCTGTGTGTCGTTCGGGCTGCAGCTGCACGGCTGGTGGCAGAGGCGCCGGCGCGATGGCGCTGCTCCCGAGGAATGCTCGCCTGGTGACGGAGACAGGCGGCGTCGGCACCGAAGAGGCCACACTGCCTAGGCTCAGGCCTGGTCAGCTGGTGGCCGTGAAGTACTAGGGGAACCCGTTGTGGCACGAGCGGCTGCTGATCGGGTCGAGCGCCGAGGCGCTCGGGACGCTGCCGGGCTGGAACTGGCGCGCGATGACCCCCGACGGCGACGAGTACGAGGAGGCGCTGGACGGCAGCCAGCCAGGGTCTCATCGGCTCTGCATGCTCGGGTTCGACGGCTCGCCTCCCCGTCTGCTGCGGGGGAAGTTGTACAGGTTTACGGAGCACCCCACGGACGAGCAGCTGGTGAGGAAGGCCGTCGAGCACTTCTGCGCGCAGGCGCACGCGGGCACCCCACAGCCGCCGCCCGCAGACTTCGTGGACAGCACGCACGGGGAGCGTGGTGGCGCTGCCGGCTGGCGCGCTCAGGGACATGGATGCTGCCCTGGTGCCGTTGGAGCCTGCTGGTGGTGCCGCGGGGGCCGTCGTTCGCCCCTTTCAGGCGGGCGCCGCCTGGCTTCTGCTGCATCGTGTGCGGCTTCGAGGGGCCCGACGCAGTGGGCTTCGAGGTTGATCCAGTCGAGGACGTCGATGTCGGCGTGAGCGAGCAGGCGATGATGAAGCAGTACGATGGCGGGCTCTTCGTGAAGTGCATCCTTGTCCCGCGGTCGGAGGCCGACTCAAGCGTGAGCCAGCTGCTCGATCAGGCTTCAGCATCGGCCAGGCCTTCGGCGGTGGTCGAAGTGGAGACGGGCGGCAAGGGCACGGACACACCTCGCGAGGATGGCCCTGGGCAGGCGCCCGACGAGTGTCGCGCCCTGCGGATGGACTATGATCCTCGTTGCGAGAGGGTTAAGCAGTGGCGACAGGTGTGTCTGGAGTCTCGGACCGAGAGCTCTGGAGTGATAGGCCTGTTGAGGGGCCGGCGTCGCTGCTGCACCGGATGAACCAGACGGCTCGGGACGGGGGAAACCCCGAGATGTGGCTGGCAGACTTCTGCAGGGATCGTCGGATTGAGAAGAACGACAGGGTGCATCAGAGCTTCATAATCTGATCGAGGTTGTGTACATCGGAGGGACTTTCGACCAGCTGAATATGCCAGCCTTGCAGCGTTTCGAGCGCATCAGCCGTCGGATCCCCTCGATCGTGGACGCCTACAATGGGACGGGGGGGCCCTCCTGGCGCATGGCCCGTCGCTGCGAGGGAGTGGGCGGCGCGCTGGACAGCGCGTCGCCGGCCCTGCGGCAGTGGGGCATCGAGAAGGCGAAGGGCGAGAACGAGCTGAACACCGCCCGCACTCGGAGCCTCCGACGAGCGGGCGGCGAGGAGGAAGACGGGAACGGCGACGAGACCGAGAAGGCGGAGGGCGGTGCAGGGCGCGGCGGCGGCCGCGGTCGCGGCCGCGGCTCCGCCGGGAAGCAATGATGGGCCAGGAGGCCCGTGCGTCCGCTTCCAGCCCGGGCCCCCCTCGAGTGGGGGCAGGCCGCGCCGCGCCATCGTAGGGGAGCAGAGACGCGTTCCCCTTGCCGCTGGAGGCGGCACCTCTGCGACCCAATCGGCGGGGCGGCAGGCGGCCGGCGTGGTGGCGGCCCCGCCGACGACAGCGCGAACTGATTGACAACGCCCAACGGGCGCTCGATTGGACGCATGGCTTTGAGCTCGGGCATGAGGCTCAGCCGGAGTGTGATGATCTGCAGCGGGACGTGAGGCAGTACGTGCATGGGCTGGCCCAGGGCGAGCAGCGCGCGCGCCGTGGCCTCGACGTCCCGTGAGCGCAAGTGGCCCTGAGGGAGTTCCTGCGCGGCCGTTGCCTGTGTGGCGCGCGGGCGGCCGACGACTCACTGGTGCCCTTCCAACAAGGCCGGCTGTCGCTACCCGAGACGGTGGGGGCTCTCTTTTCATCGGCGACGTCTGCGGCAAGCGGGGCCACTATTTCTTGGGGCGGGAGGGCGAGCGCATGCTTGAGCCCGTCGGCGAGGCCGAGGCCGACCTCGCGCGCGACGGCGCGCAGTGCTATTGCGATCTCGCCTTGGTGAACCACGAGACCGCGTGCGCTACCTGTTTGAAGGCGTTGATGGCGCGGGGCCTTCTCCACTTCACGCCGCGGCCGCTCGAGATGGTCGGCGTCTTCTGCGCGTGGAAGAAAAGCCGCGAACGCCAGCGACTCATCCGCGATGCTCGGCGCTCCAAACAGCGTTTCAGGCGGCCACTCAGCGTGGGCCTGATCACCGCGGAGAGCTTGAGCGGCATCGAGCTCGACCTGGGCGCCAGCGAGAAGCCCGAGAACGAGCTGGTGGGCAAGCTTTGCGAGAGCCTGTCCGTCGCGGTGGGGATAGCGGGCGAGAGACGCGTTCCACCGATTGCGAACGCCCTTGTTCTTGCAACGCCACTTCTGCTTCCCTCCAGCGCGGAGCGGAGCCCTGGGGCTCGCAGGCAAGACGGTGGAAAGTGGCAAGTGCCGACGGGCAACGAGCAGGTCTGGCCCTGCCCAGCGGCCTTCCCGATGGGTTTCTCGTGGAGCCTGTTGCACCGCCAGGTGTCGGGGAAGGAGCTTGCGGGAAGTTTCGAGCCCCTCGGCGTGGATGCTCTGCTGCGGGATCTCGGGCGGCCGCCAGTGCTGGGCCGCGAGCAGCAGGGCCCCCTCCGAAACTGCATCTACGTCGACAACGCGGGCGTGCTGGGAACGGACAGGGCCAGAGTTGTGAAGACGCTCGAAGGCGTGACCGACGCTTCCACCCAGAAGGGGCTGCTGGCTCACGAGCAATCCGCCGCCTCTGGGACCGCGGAGGTGCTGGGCGCGGAGATCGACGGGCGGCTGATGCAGATCCGCGCGTCGGGCAAGAGGCGGCCGCGGGCCCGGCAGGCCATCGCGGGGCTGCTCCAGCGCGGGCGCGGCGCGGGCAGTGCGCTGGAGGCGTTGCTGGGGCATCTCACGTTCCTGGCGATATCGCGGCGGCCCGCGCTGGCCTGCTTCCACGCCTGCTACGCTTTCGTTCAGAAACAGCTACTTCCATGTGAAACCTCGGTGGCCAAGTGTGATTGAGGAGCTTCGGGTGTTCTCTGGCTTGGTCGTGTTTCTTTGCAGTGATTGGTCACGACCTTGGAATCAGCTCGCCGTTGCGCCGGATGCTTCGAAATACGGCCTCTGCGGCGCCGAGGCGTGGTAGCCCCTTGAGCTGGTTCAAGAGACTGGTCTGCGTCGCGAGAGGGACAGGTTCTTGGCGCCTGAAGCTGCGAATCCCCGCGCGTCAGCCCTGGGGGGAGGGTCGCGTCGGATGAACCCCTGAGGGCCTGCTGAGCCGTGCCGAGAGTGTCTTAGGAGATGGAGGATCTTTAGGTTTGAGGGCGGCGCTGCCCCCCGGCGCCCGGGACCTCGACCCTTGAGTTTTTGAAA